CTAGCAGGACAAGCACTGGCATGAGAATGCTGGCGTCGCTCGTGCAATCCCAGGCCCCACTAGCAGGGTCTTGGCCTTGGCCTTGGCCACGCTGGCAAACCCACCCCCACCCCCCCTGGGTGGGGACACTTGTGCCATGGGGCCTGTCCACACTTGGGGGGGGAGCTGGTAGGACTGAGATGCCATGGCCTCGATGGGACAAGCTCGACGATGCCGAGCATGAGCTCTCGGAGCTCCGTGAGGGTCTATTGAACTGGCGCCGGAGGTCCAGGGCCAATCCGAGTCCTTCGCGCGGAGCCCCGAGAGCTTATGTGTGTGAGCAATATCGTCTTCGACGTAATGGGCGGACATTGAGCAGAGACCGACCGCTATGGCATTCCCATCAGCCTGCCACGGGATGCTCTTAGAACTCAGAACGGAAGAGTCTTCTCAGAACGAGAGCAATGACCTCAGAGAGCAGAGCTGCCGTGTTGAAGCAAGAAAATCCCAGCAAGAAGCGTTCTGGGAACATGTCGTGCAACCCCCAAAACTGGTTGATAACATCCTTCAGTGTTGAGGAATGGAAAAAAACCCTACCCTGGGTTACAAGTACGTGGTCAGTAAACCTCCTGGAAGCTCCCACAGGCCAGAGAGCCGCCAGGACGCCGCGCGGCACGCGCGATACGCAGGGCTTGCCCTGTCAGTCCACAGGAGGTTCAGCGCACAACGCCTCATCAACAAGGGTAGGGGCGCTTTTTTTACGCCCTTTATAGTGCACCTAACGTATAGGCAGGCACTGCTTGAAAGCATTGGCATCAAGCACAAGCTCTCGAAGGTCCCCAGATCTGCGTTTTTTACGCCCTTGATGGTTTACCTATAGGCAGGCACTGCTTGAAAGCAGAGGCATCAAGCACAAGCTCTCGAAGGTCCTCAGATCTGCGCTGACTACTGCCAACGCCTCATAAACAAGGGTAGGGGCGTTTTTTTTTACGCCCTTGATAGTTTACCTATAGGCAGGCACTGCTTGAAAGCAGTGGCATCAAGCACGAGCTCTCGAAGGTCCCCGGATCTGCCGACGCCGACTGCTGCCAGCCGACAGCTCTGCCTCGAATCCGGGCCTCCCGGGTCCGTGCTCGGAGCGCGGGGCCATCGAGAACAGGAGGGAGGGAGGGAGGGAGGGAGGGAGGAGGGGGAGGAGGGGGAGGAGGAGGGGGAGGAGGGAGGGAGGGAGGGAGAGAGAGGGAGAGAGGAGGAGGAGGAGGAGGAGGAGAGGAGGAGGAGGAGGAGGACGAGGAGGAGGAGGAGGCGGAGGGAGGGAGGGAGGGAGGGAGGGAGGGAGGGAGGGAGGGAGGAGGAGAGGGGAGGGAGGGAGGGTTGATGATGCAACGCGGGGCTTGGGGGACATCCGTGCTCCTCAGCTGACTCGTCCACAACTCTTATTACTAAAAGAAGCAACGAACAGCAACAAAAAGAAAAGAAGGTGCCAATCCCTCCACCTAGCCGCTGATGAGCCAGGTGTTCAAGGCCGTTCGTGCGGCCTCCCTCGCCGCCTGGAGCCTAACCTCCTCGTTTGGGGGAGGCGCAGGGGCGAAGCAGGAAGGAGTGGGCACCTGGGTTCGGCGACGGGCAGCCCGTCTCTCTTTCGCGAGAGCGCGCTGGGCCGCTATGCGGTCGCGCTGCTGCGAAGTGAGCTCGAGAGGGGCAGGGGGAGGCGGCAGAGGCGACGGAGGGGGCGGAGAAGGAAGGAGTAACCACTCCGCAGCTTGCTCCTCTGGGGAGCCATGCACAAGATCAGCGTAGTGCTGCTCCTCTGAGGCCTCGGCATCCTCGCCATGCGAGGGAGGCTGAGAAGCACGCCTGGGTCCGTGCTCGGCCACTACGGGGGAAGGGGCAGCTTCCTCCTCCGCGTCCGAGTCATCGAACCTGTGGTTCTCAGGATCGACGCGGTGAGACCCCCTACGCGAGAACCCCGCGAAGTCAGGAGCAGGGCTCTCTTGTGGAGGGTCTACAGGCTGAAGCTTGGCGTAAAACACGGCAAGCGATTCGCGGATATCGTCAACATCCTCGGGATAGTCCAGGTCAGCACGGGGCGAGGTGGAGGACTCGGCCGAGGAAAGGAGAGACCTGGCACTATCCGCGATGGCCGAGGCAATCGCCTGGCACATCAGAGGCGGGTAAGTCTTGTTAGACGCAGTGTAAAAAGAACCCGAGGCCGTTTTCCCAAGAAGGGTCTGGTGAGAGCCTCTCGGGTGTGAACATCTACCGCCTCCTGGAGTGGCCTTGAGGAGCCTGTCCAAGGTGGGCATGCGAACAGAAAGGATAGTTGTGGGGGCACGCCCCACCTGACCAGGGTCCACCTCGGGACCCTGGTGCTCGCATTGATCGAAGGTGGTGACCGCGGCGCTTGGGGCCGCGGCCAGGGCCTCGAGAGGCCGCCAGCGAAACGCGGAAGGGGCCCGTGGGGCCCACGTGGGGTTGGCGGGATGTTCCATCCAACCCCCCGTGCCAGCCCTCAGATGCTCCGCCAGGAGCCAGACCAACGCGTGCAACAACTGAGACCCGATACGGAGCTGCTCCGACTGGCGCTGGGACACCCAAGGTAAGCCCCACATATACTGAGTGGACCTGAGAGGGGGGGGGCCTCCCTCGTGCCACCGGGCAGCTGACCAAGTTTCACAGGGAGGCCCCCCCCCTGTGTTGATGACCCTGTGACATCGTATGTGTTCCGCCCATTCGAGAAGTGTCGCTTCCTTCGTCAGGTCCCCCCTGTCGGCGTCTATGGCTATGTCTACGCTGAGAATCACCAGATGGAGGTCGGCCATGAGCATCTCATGCTCGAGTTGCCACTGGACGTCGCCTCTGCGACGCTGCCCGCAGTAGAGATGAAGTACGTACACTGTTGGACGACGAATGCGAATGGGAACCGAGGATGCCAGAAACTCAGGATATTCACCAGGGTTGTAGACATAGAAGGGTGGCTCGGGGACGACAGGGAGCTCCGAGGGAACATCGGTACATATGGCAGTATACTGCGGGATGAGGTCATCGGGGATGGCAGGGTCCGCCTCCAAGAGGAGCTGAAGTGCATCACGATGTGTAAGGTGCGAGGTAAGGGCCACAATATCGGGGTCACGGGAGAAAGTGGGAAGACGCGTCGCAGGGACTTCGATACGCCACCTCCCTTGACCACATGCTCGTTGATTTCGCATTCGTACGTCCTCTTGCTGCTGAAGGGCGGTGGCCTCTGCTACCGTGCACTGCGGTGCGGACACGATGAGACCAATTGCACAGGGTAGTGAGTCAAATGCAAGGTGCGCCGTGAGAGCAGACCGATGCGCAAAGGACTGAAAGCAGGTACAGCAAGAGAGAGACGAACCCTGACAATTACGAATGAACGCCACTCTCGAATGATGAACGCGCTGAATGCGCGAACGAAGCCCTCGAATACGAGAGAAGGATAGCGAGCACCACATACATGTAAATACATTGGCGTCCTCTCTCTCCTGCTGGCGTAGGCGATGCCGTGGGTCGTCCCAAGCTGGTGGTACCCCCGCTGAGTCTAGTATCTGGAAGATCTGGTCTTCGGCAGCGCGAGCAAGTGTGTCTCGCTGAATATGCCGAACATGAGAAGCAAGCGCTTGCCTAATTGTCTGCTTCCACCCCACGGCTGACTTCTTGGCCTCTACCTCCCAAGACTGTAAATTCTCGAGGGGGTCAGGGTGCTCCTGAAACCTACGAGTGTACAGACGCAGCCATCCAATATCCTCCATAATCATGTGTCCCCAGGTCCTGGGAGTCTCTATCATAGCAGTGTGAACCAAAGCCATAATGTGGGGCGGACCTGATACCAAGAGGCGGCCAAACAGTCGAAGCCTGTGGGCAGACAGGAGTGCGTCGAGCGGTGGGCGGCCCACTCGTGCAAGTACAAACTTAGACGGCATGGCAGTGTCGTCCGCTCGGGGAAGTCTGGCAATAGCTCGATAATATCGGAGGAGACCGTCTTGGAGATGATTGTGCTGGGCCTGGGTAAGAAAGCCCCATGTGCTGGATTGAAATAATCTCCCAGAGTAGACAAGAGAGTCCAAGAAAACCAAGGCAGTCTGCATCTCGATAGTTTTGTGCTTAAAGACCTTGCCACGAAGAACCCTCCAAGCCTGCGAACACCCAGAAAGACGGTGAGCCAGTTCAGGCCCCATAGACGCTGACATATCATGCTTAGTGCCAAGATGCACATATTCTTGAACACGATGAAGACACATGGGCCCCATGCTATGCGTATACGTATGAATGGTATTGTGCATCGTCTGTACCAAGGTGCGTTTGGTCCCTTTGGAGGAAAGCCCACGAAATTGGAAGAGAAAGGCAGACTTACCCGGTTTGACGTTTACTTGGAGGCCCGAAGCGGAGAATGCGTCAATGACCACGGAGGCAATGAACGGCGCTTGCAGCAAGAGGATGCTGGCACGGCCTTCAAAGCAGAACAAGGCGTCATCAAAGAAGGCGCCGTCCATAGAGTGGCATGTGTGAACTGGCGGCTGCTCCACATTCCCCGCGGTGTAGATCGCAAGAGACGAGACGAGGTGACAGGGAAGACGAAGCCCTACTCCCAAAGCGAGAAGACCGTCCTGGGCAGTAGCCATGATTTTGGCCATGATGAAATTGAAAACCAAATCGCCAACTTGCTGGCCAGGCCCAGAGCCCAAACAGGGAAACGCCACACCCGATCCGTCTTGAACATAAAACCAGGATTGATCGTACGCGTCCGAAATTTGGCCCCGACGAAATGCAGAAACTCCGTGATGTTCGAGCAGGGGGGTGGACGATCGTATGGTTTCTGCCAATTCCTGAGTGGCCTCCGGAGGTAACCCACAGAACTTGAGTAACTTGGCGATGGCTTCGTCATTAGCAGAGGTACGAAAGATTAGTTCACGAACTGACTTGCACTTTGACGTGTAAGAGCACGAAATCTCTTCCCGACTTGAGAGGATCCTAGAATGGATCTGTAGTTTTTGACATTGGAG